TTTTTTTTTTTTAAAGTATTTAAATAAACATAAGTCTCCGTCTACATTAAAAAGCCAGCTTTCGAATGCTTGATCAAACAATGGAATTAAGGTCAAACTGTTTTTGTCTCAGCGGCGTTAGCTTTCTACCTTTAACTAATTTGCCCATCTTACATCATACTGTTTTTTTTTTTAACCTACTGTTTCTTAAACTAATAAGAAAATCGACGTAAAATTCAGTTGCCTTTAAAATTCAATTTTAAATTTAAGAAATCAAGCTTACCTCACATTTTGTTCAAGAAAACGAGGACTTTGACTTTAAAAGAGAAATGTTTTTCCATCCTCGAAAATCTCTATTTACAATAACAGCTTAAAACGTACTAAGAATTTAAACAGACGTATTTTAATTTATATTCATTGTTATGTTTTATTCATTGCTGATAGTTTCTAAAGACAGAAACCTGCTTTTCGGCATTAGGACAAGATTCATGAGCCTAGATACTCATTAGAGATAAAATATGATATGTTGTTTACCGTTTTTCAGTGCTGATAGGGTGCATCGCCCGACTGTGGTATGCTGTTATATCGACCCATTATTAAAAGACTCGCAATGTAACATGTAGTTTTAGCTGCCATGGAAAACAAAGGCGATCCTATATTATGCAGGAAGTTGCTAAAATTTAGAAAACCGAGGAAGTTAGGAAATTTTTAACAAAGGAGATCAAATACAGGAAATTAAAGCTTAATTCCGTCCCGAAGGCGTTCATGATGTTGAATTAACGAGAACTCGCCTTTTGATGACCGCGTTTTAAAATCTTAGCTAGCTTTTCCTTAAGGGAAATCCAGAATAAGGGTATTTACTATTGGCAAGAAAAACATAATTTATCCTGTCAATACTTTCAGTGTTAAATGTGCGAATTCTTCAGTTGGTGAACATTGCAATTAATTTGGTAAATCCTCATTATGCAAACTGCATATAAATAAAGCAAACGGAGTTATTTTATTTTTCGGAATCATTTTTGGAATAATTGAAACAGGTACATTGTGGCGTTTACAACTTTCTTATTAAAATTACCTGCACGTACGATTGTGGAGCTCGAGATAGAAAAACTATAGAGTAAGAGTGTTACCGTTAGAATTGAGAAGAAGGTTAATGAGGTAAATCTAGAATCTGGAATAAAACCCTACAATCATTTGGAAAATATACGGAATGACATTATAGCTTGTATTGGCCTGGTGGATTAGACATTAATACTGCTATAATTAATTATTTAGTTTCATCTCGAATAATCTAGTTTACGTTCTTTGGAGTTCTTCAGTTAGCAGTAGACTATGAAAACCTGTTTTAAGGTCTTAATGAGCCTGGCAAATTATGCTGTCAGTATAAGATTGCACATAATCCTCAAACTATTGTCTTGTTTGATTTCCTGGCTTGGCGAAAATTACAAACATTGTTAAATTCTTCAGTGAAAGATCTTACACCCACACTTAAAGTATTGTTAAATTTACTGTCCTAGTTGAAGAAAATAATTCATTTTAGGACCAAAAGAATTACTTGCATTTACTAAAATAAAATGAGAGGTGTTTGTACCGTTTTTGTGATGCCAAAGTGCACTTCTCTATACAATCATGGTGCTATGGTGCTAATATCTCTGCAGATTGTAGTCGTCACTGGCGGTTGCCGCGATGGAAAAAGAAGTCGGCGGTTTTTTTGGGTATGGTAATATATGCCAATGAATTTGAACAAAGGAAAAACAAAAATTACCTGTCAAGATAAAAACAAAATTATTTGCAACTTATACACCTAATTGCAACAGCGATCTCATACAAAACAAAACGAAAGCATAAAACAGAAAACGTTCTTACAGCAGCCAATTTACCATAACTCCACTGCTGCCAAAGTGAAGTATTGATCAGTTTTATTACCGAGTTAAACAATTGTTTTCAGTCGCTTTATTGGTGTTTTTATCTTGCAAGATGAATCACTGGAGTCAACAAATCATATATTATTTAATGTTTCGTGGAAACCACAGTTTGTATATAATAAATATAAATTTTATTGTAAGATAAGTTAACGGATCCCACAAATTGCTTTACTCTTGTTTGCACCACTGAGAGAAGTAAAGGCTGTTTTAGTGCAATTATGGATGGTAAACAAGTTACAAACATAGACTAAACATCAAAGGAGATGTTTTAAAACAAACAAAGGAACAAACGAGGAACAGTAGTTTCGCCCCATGTAGAATCGTAGACATTCTTGGATTTTTGATTCCATGCCGAGGAATGGAACTTGGATTCCGGAATACAGCTGTTCGTGGGACTTCGGGGTCCTTGAGCAGTATTCTAAATTCCAAATCCCAGGAATACGGATTCCCAAAGCAAATTGTTCTATATTTTTTTACTTTAGCGTAGTCTGTTATAAGTAGCTTGTTTTTTAGTTTCTTTTTCTCATTTTCCTCGATTTTGTTGACAGTATTTTTCTCTTACCACCGCATTTTCAATACATTTAGCCCGAAAGACGTACTTTTAGTGTGTTCAGGTTTTTGGAATATTTTGTTAACTTTTTTATTGTTGTTTTGCGTACAAAATTAAATCCCGTCGTCGTCTGCTGAAAACCATGGCCATTTTCTTAAATTTTGTTGTTAAAACAACTCTAATCGGATTGGTTCTTGGTGGTTTCTTTTGTCTTCAGCCAATCAGAAACCATTTGTAATTTGTACTGGTGTTACAAGTTTTGCACTCGTGTTACAGAAGAGCTGCACTCCTTTCTCAGCCGATCAGAATTGAGTAATTTTTTCGTGTATATTATTAGGAACGGAAAAACACTTTTGTGTGGTTGAAAAGCAACATGCATTCGGCAAATAATTCAAACCTTACTGGTTATTATCAGGGTTATCCCGCAGCTTCACCAGAGTAGTTTACTTGGGCTAATGGACGATATTAATTCGAATCTTTCTTTCACATAAATAAGTTATTAAATGTGGTTGCGCTTTTCAGAGCTAGTGTCAGCTGCAGCGTATGTATGCAAAACAAAAAGCCATCTCAGTAAAACAAGTTGTGGCGGCTCTTTTAGGGCATCCGGCATTTACTCGGTCACAAATTAACAGGAGGTGAAGATTGAAGTACTCCCTTTATTAACAAGAAGACCGCGATTCTCTCTACAGTCAGAAATAGCATCTAAACAAATACTTTAGTTTTGTTAAGTGAATTTCTGTCATTGGTCTAGCCCCTTATTTTCACTGCCCGCGAAATTGCAGACTTTGGCTGCTGTCGTGAAATTTTGCATGAGTTTTATAAAATGACTTTCTAGTCCTTTTTTCTTTTCTGTTTTGATTTACTTATAATAATCATTCTTTGAGGTAAATGTTAGTATAATTACAGTTGCCAGATGATTTAATTTGAATCTATAGTCATAAAACTAGCTAAAACTTCAGATGCTGGTCAAAGTGTTCTTGATATATGGGTTGTCACGGAAAAACAAAGCACCTAGCAATTCTATGTTTTAAGGGGAAGGCTTTCTCTTCAGTTTATCTCGAAGAGCTTAGAGTCGGACACCGATTTTCTAGGCTAGTGCGGTGGTTGTAAAGATAGAGGTTATTGAGCCAGCGACAGTATAAAGGAAGGAAGATTTGCACTCTAATAAAAACTCTGTAAATGTACTATTTATAGACATTTTACAATCCCTAAAGGGTCCAAATTTTCCTGTGAGATTTTCAGAGACAAAGGTTTTTTTTTTAACAAAAAAGAAAGAGTTGTTATAATCCTATAGCAATAAATAGTGATTGCGAAAGGTTTCTCTATATCAAAAGAGTCTGATTGTTGTTATAAGCTCACCTTAATTTTCGCTAAATTGCAGCGGAATTCAGGCACGCTGATCGATGAATAGTTTGCTCATCACGTACATGTACAGATTCCTTTTCTTTAGAAAATTTTCGCGTGTAATCTTTCCACCGTCGTTTTACACTACTGTGAAGTTATTACCCCTGCTTATTTTTGATAAAACTAAGGAGCAAACAGTAGTCTTTTAAGACACACGATCTCATTAACCTACAAGGACTTTCCTTTCATCGGCCTTTTTGATGAAATTAATTTTCATGCAGAATGAGCGTCTGTTCATTTTACGAGAGGTCACGTTTTAAACAAAACTGCCAAATTCGTGTTTTGCTTGATAAGCTTTAAGCCTTACATCTTCCGACAATGAATTAGTAAGTGCTATTTCGTAATTGGTTGAATAGGTATCCTTGAAAACAATACTTACAAGTTTACTAGAGTCGAGCCCTTGACTCGGGGATTTATTTAGTTTTAGCGCAATGGCCAATAGAAATACGATTTTTGAAAAATTGTTGTTTATTTATCAAAAGAAATATAGCTTCTGCTCCTCAAGAAAATGAAAGATTTAACTAACTAATTGTCATGCAGAAAATTTAATTTCCTTACTGTACAAATTAGTGTGAGAGATGGGATTAACAAATTATATATTATGCAAACTTCTCTTTTTTCGTCCACAAGAGTTGAATTTACCTTCTGAATTCACCATTAGGATCAACCTCGGATATCCTCTTTCAATCGATCTGGTCGGGGGAAAAAAGCGCTACGAGAGTTTTCACTGAGCACGAGGGCAAGGTCTTCTCCCACCCGTGTTTGAAAACGATTTGCAGCCTGTTTAAAGCTTGTTATTTCCAAACGAGGTTGTCCGTTTTTTTTTTCTTAGCAAAAGTTGGACCCTTCAATTTATGACGCACTCAGTGATTTTTAAAGTTCTATACTAAACTGAAATATTTCCACTCTGATCGATCCAGGAGATCCGGACTCCATGGATGCACCCACCCTCCCCCTGGATCACCACAGGTTGAAGTCGGAATCATTCTCTAAAAAAATTCAACTGCATGTAACCGAATAATATGTAATATATTTTATTTGCTCTGCTTTTACTTATTTCACTTGACTAATAACACTGAATAATCAGTAAATTTGTCCACTCTTTTCTTCCAATAAAAATCGCATTGAATTACTGAGCTACTCTACACCAAAGTAGAGGAGATGTTAGCAGATGCGGAGTCTCCAAAATTTCCAATTGACATTGTCGTGGAATTGAGTGAATTCGCCAACCATCGAACATCCCTGAGAACTGAACTTCTAGCTGGCCGATCTCTTATTGAGTTGGCCCTAAATGGAATACTTTTCAAAGAAAAGCCAAGCATCTTGTCGAGGGTTGTTTTTAGGGATTTTGTAAGGATTCGATGTTGTCTTCCTGGTTCGATCATCCTTAGCAGCCTCCTTGCTTGACGTCGCTCCTTCCTCTTGACTCCAAGACGTCTCAATTGTCGGGAGGTCGCCGGACGAAATGCACGCCTACGAATTTGACGAACTTCTCTGGTGGTTAAGCTTTCAAGGCGACTCATTACTTCATCGTACATTGGGTGCACGGGATCTTTGTAAATGACACAGATATTCTCTGCATTTCGTCTATTAACATCGGGGTGGGGTAGATACAAGGTGTCTATATAGTCTTGGGGATGAAATTGCGCTGCTTGCATACGTGTTCTAGAGGGAAGATCTCTGAAATAAACGTCCATATGTTCAGTGCCCTTTTCTTGCCAATCTGCCCAAATTTTGTCGATAAAGGCGTGATGAAGGAAGAACTCTGGGGCGTTAGCAGAATACTGGTTGCACATTGTGCCTCCTACGTTGCAATGTAATGTATCGTGAAGATTGGCGCGCAGTTCCAACTCAAACTGTCTGAACTGTCTTGGAGAATAAGCCTTAGTGAGGTAGACAGCTATTATATCCGGTGGTTTCGCTGTATAAGAACAAGAGAAGAACAATTCATTATTTATTCAAAATGTATGGCCCTTTTCTAATTGGCTTCTCATAATTCCTCTTAACCCGCTGGCGCTGACAAGAAAGGCGAACAATGGGCTTGCCCCAATATAAAATAGCAACCTTTTTTTCCATAATAATTATATTTCTGGCATTACGTACATTGTCACTGTGATAATATCTAAACAAAATTTTTTTTCCCCTGGTAAAAATTCTCAGGCAAAAAAAAGATATCATTTATTCAGGATGTGATTGAGTTGCATCAGATATACTGCCAATTATAATTAGCGTGTTGAATTGCTACTCTGGGAGCGTTTGACGATGACATAACATACACTGTAATAAAATCCAGTTGTACCTCCAAAAGACCTTCTAAGGCAATCTCTGTGAGCCGAGGGTGTAACGCGCCATGTTCTTCGGTTAAATCGTCCTTGATTAACACAGCCAGGTCTTCTACCTCTTTGTCCATTTCCTCCTAGTCCCCAAGGTTTTGACGACCAAATTTCATCTTCCCCTTGGCTCCACACGGCTCCAGGAAACAGGCTCCAATCCCAATACGGTAATGTCACTCTACAGTCGATTTCTCGAAGTAAATTTTCGTATTTAAGAAGATACCTGCGCATTGACGAAACCAAAACAATAGATATTTAGGGCGCTTATTCGATTTGAAATTTCTGAAATTCCACGTGGCTCAGTGGTCAGATTATCCGACCGGTATGAAGGTGATCATAGGTTTAATTCCCTTAGGGAACTCATATTTTGTTTTTCCCGCGCCTGTGAAATGATGATTACATCCTTTCTAATTATCATTATTATAAATTAATTATTAATACTTGATTAATTAATCCTTTAAAACATAAATGTAGTTCAATCGCTGTCGAAAAATCAAAGTCGTGGTCTTCGACCATTATCTTTAAACCATGCGTATTTGTGTATTTTAAGTGAAAACTTTAACATCATAACGACTTTCTTTTCATACCTCCCCCTCAAGAGACTAGTGGTCACATCCTAATCGGACTGCATAAAAAGAAAGGGAGATGCCTCATAACGTCTTTTTTTTTCTCGGCCCTGTTGGCTTTTGCGTGCCTTGAAATTAAGCGTTAGGGAAAAGGCTGTGCAGCTGATGGTTGGGAACAAGTTCATGAAGACAACCCAGCAATTTTGAAGGATATGAAATGATCGTTTCATTAAGACTTACCATCGGTGCCAAGGTAGAAATTGCCGTCGATCGTGAATACCTCTCATAAAATTTGTTGAATGAATGGCAATTAGTCTGTTGTATTTTCCTCTGTACCGCCGATCCGTAGAGGCCCTGTAGACAGTGTTTACATATCGTAGTCTTTCACCTCGAGTCATTGAGGCAAAGTTCTTTCGTTTTCTACAACAATACTCTAGCCTTCCATCGAGGCAAATGCACTGCTCCCCGCACGGACCGTCCACAGGTAGACCTTCCTGTTCATTGCGACACGTGTATCTACGATTCCTTCCCCTGTGAGAGAACACCCCTGATTGAAAAAAAAAAAAAATTAATATAAATTATCAATATTTATCATTAGAATCTTTATTTAAACTCGTTTATTATTACACTGGTGCTAGTTTTAGCGAGCTAAAACTACTAATCAAAAGCTAATTAAAATACTAAATACAACATTCCTAAAATACTTAACACTAAAATCAAATATTTATAAAACTGAGCAGCATAAAAGATCTGATTATGAATGCACGCCAACCTAGTTGTTTTTTTTTTAAGATTGGGTCCCGAGATCTTTAAGAGAATTCCATAAGGTAGGCCTTAAATATCTAATCGATTTTGGTCCATATTATGATGATATTCTATCACATTTGGGAGGAGTTAAAGTATGAGACCCATAACATTATAAAGTGTGGCATGTAAAGGGAGAGATCCTTAATATATTATGATACAGGTACTTAATCATTATTAAAGCATTAATATTGCTTTAAAATGCGCCGCGACATTAGCATTTTTTGCAAACGGATCAATAAAATTCAAGGTTCAAGTATGCAACCGATGAAAACTTTAAAACCGTTTGAACATACCTGACCTCTTAGCCCTCAAAATTACGAATGTTATTGGTCCGTTTGCGAAACAACTTGACAATCTTTTATTTTCAAAAAACGTTGTGATTGGATAATCTTCTTTGAAGTGCCCCCGTTCGAGTAGCCGTACGCACTTTAAATTGTCCAGCCAAAAAAAAAAAAACACTCATAATAAAAGAAATGTTTCGGCCTTCTTCACAAGATGCCTTGTAAGGACACAAAAAGCACGAGCACGAGCAACATACCCGTTTAAGAACGCCTAAAGCAATATGTTGAATATAATGGCCACCGTTCGTTAAGAAATGAAATCTTCTGTGGGGTCCCTCAGGGTTCTATCCTCGGACCTCTACTTTTCTTACTGTAAGTTTACGACATCAACAATGCTTCTAATCTATTAAATCCGAACTATCTTTCAGATATGTTAAGCTCAGAGATGGACAAACTGTCAATGATCTGGTTTAAAGCAAACAAGCTTTCTCTAAATCTTAAAAGGACTAAAGTTATGGTCTTTAAACCAAGACAAAAGCGTTCAGTTTGTAATATTCAAATAAATATAGATAATCAAAATATTGTTAAAGTAAAGTAGACAGATTTTCTAGGAGTAATTTTCGATGAAAACGTAAAGTGGAAGTCGGAAATATCACACGTTGCAAAAAAAGTTGCCAAGTCAATCGGTATAATATCTAGATGAAGCTTCTTTCTTCCTAAATCGTCTCTACGTATGCTCTACTATTCCTTAATTTATCCTTATTTTTGCTACTGCAGTGTAGTTTGGGCTTCGACCTATAAAATCAATCTCCGCCGCCTTGTTATCCTGCAAAAGCGCATTATTAGAATTATTTATAATAAATCACATTTCAATGCTCATACAGACCCCATCTTTAAGGACCTCGGTACACTTAAATTTAACGACATCCATTTCTTCTAGCAGTCACGCGCGTTATTATGTATCTTCAGTAAAAGAAATTACTTTTCTTGATTCTTGAGATAGGATCTCGAATTTATCCAAGGCATAAACATTTGTTTACTTTTTTTTGCGAAGATGCGGTGTTTGAAACCGCTATACAGAGTTAAAACTTTTTACCTGCCACACAAAGCACGAAAATGGAAAATAACAGCACAGTAGTTGAGCTCTTCATAATCTGCGAATAACGGAAAACAAAAGAAAAAGAAACTAAAACGACATTAAAATGATTAAAAGAGTGGTGTTTCACCATACACCATTTTCACATTGCCCATAATACATCATGCTATCCACAAAAATTGTATAAAAGAATTGCCTTCTTTGGGACGACTACGCGAGAGAAATTGAAAATTAATGGTATGCAAAACTATGGAGGTAAACAAGGTGTAATATGGGTAACGTGAAAGTTGTGAATTGACCTTATCGAGCACCATGCAGGTAGGCAGGTTATTTTTTTCTTGATGTTTGTTTACCTTAAAAACATCAGGGTTGAAAACGCTTCTATTTTGTTCGAATAATTTTGAATATGTACGTCTCGTGCACTGAAACACAAACAGACTGGAGAAAAGCCGCGGAACAAATTAATTAAGTGATTCAACTTGTAGCAGAGGGAGGAAATCAATATTAGTTGTTTCCCAAATTTTCAATAACATGACTGGTTCAACCTCCAGTCACAGATTTATAACTTGCATATAACTTAAACTAAAAAGGGTAAGCAAAAATAAAATACATCTCAAACACATGTCATAATATAATTATGGTTTTTGCCCGGGCGACATCAAAATAACTCTATGTTACCTATAAGATATAGGATCAGCTTTAAAAAGTTTTGAAAACAACATGACTTTTTCTTTGATCACGCATAGAAAGACAAACCTCTTAACTTTTTTCTTTGTGCATGTTTTATTCATATACTTAAGATATTTCTTTACTGATTTTGGTCATTCTTATGGCTGAAAAGGAAATGATGATCGTAAGCAAATCGTTATTTAAAAAAAGGAAAAAAAAACGTTATCATATTCTGGAAAAAAAAAATGGTGATTTAGAAAGATGTTCAAGGCTGGCAACAGAAATTCATTTTAAATGTTGAAACCGTGCATGAAAAGCGTCTTCAAGCGTGTTTTAAGCAATTGGAATACAGAAAGGAAAATAAAATCAATACTGACACCTTCACTTTACGAACCCCTATTGCTATTTTGACTTTTTTTCGCTTAGGATTTCATACACTGCCTCACATTTCACAACTGCAGTTCATGAAGCTGGTCCAGTTGAAGTCGCCAAATAATTTCAGGTAACGTCTAGTCAACTGTGCAAAACGGAGTTGACGCCCCCAAAATATACAATCGCCAGTTAAAGTGACTCTAATGATTGAAAATAACATTTTCGACAATGCGCCGAAAAAAATTAAGGTAATAGTGAAAAATCACCTTCGTATTGCAGGGTATTAACAAAACCTTCCCGGCGGCGTCCCTCAGGAAAAAGTGAATCACAGTCAAAAACTGCCAAGCCTTTGTTCCATTTCACTTTCCTTTATGTAAAAATAGTGTTTGGTGACAATCCCGATTGGCTATTTACCTAAAATAATTTTTGTTGATGTTATGTTTTTGTTTGTTAAGATGACATGTCATGATGTACTGGTAGAAATAAACAATGTCGTTAAGTTCATTTTCAAGCTTAGATACCATTCAACAAGTAATCGGTTTCTACATACTTTAATAATTCTCCAGGATATTACTGCAAAGCAATATCACATCCAAATTCTGTTGCCTAAACTTGGTGAGCTGTTTCTGGGTACCAGTTAATAATTCTTTGGGTGGCCAACGAATTTTGAGGCGAGAGATTTGGTGAAATGCTAGGAATTTACCATATGCAGTGTTGGGAAATAACAGGATGCTCTCAGGTTATTTGACAGAAAGTCATTTGAACCGATTGTCCAGTGCCCATGTATGTGAACAAGTTGTACCTGATATGTTGTATATATCCTTTCAAACAAAAAGAAAAAGAAACAAAATAAACAGGTTAGAGTGTTAGAACCTGCATGCCACATTCTTTAGATTCTCATTTTAAAACGGGGCTTCAAGTCCACAAAGTTTCAAGGATTTTTACCAAACCGAACACGGGAATCATTTGAGGTCAAATGTGGGGATCATTTGTGTCCCTTCAGAAGATTTTGATGCTATAGGTGATCACGCTCTCAACACGCGAACACAGCACGCGAAGCGTGATTGAAGTCACGAATATGCACATATTTAATGGTGAAAAAAGAAAGTCACGCTTGACTGTTTAATGTCACGACTGTTCACCTGTTTAATGTCATGTTAAGTGTGCAAAGTTTAGAGTGTTTTCACTCACGTGGCCAGTATCTACGCAAATTTATTGGAATAAAAGAAAGCGTTTGCATAAGAAAAGAGTACAACTCCCAGAGGATTTGTTTGGGACACCAATATGGCCGCCGTGACGTTTTAGTGCGCTATGGCCATGGTGGAGAAAAAAGATAGCCAAAGATGGCATGGAACGTTTGGACCTTTTGAGAAAAGGTTGATTTGCTGAAAACAAAAAATACAAGGTAAGTCACTTGAAAGGCTGACAGTGAATATGCATAAGCGACCCATATCGTGTCTTGTGTTCAGTTGCTATTGCTTTACATGTACTGTCATCATTTGGAGGGTCATAACTTTAAATTAAATCCAGTTAAGCTTTGAAGACCAAACTGAAACATGGCGACCTCAGTCGGGGAGAGTGACATTAATGTTGGGAACACTTTTTCCACTAATCAATTTATTCATAATTATTTTAAAATGCATAGACAACGAGTACACAAAAAAGAACTTCCTCGAAACGTATTTATACCATGTTGGTTAATTTAAATACATTATTGTCGACTCGTATTTTTTTTTTAGAAATCTATTTTTTATTTTTAAAAGTAGCTTGTGGTAGACTTTCAGTGCCAAGCCGGATTGTCTTGGGTAATGTTATCACATGGTGATAGTATATCAGACTAATGATCCAGGGGGGGGATCCCTTCTATAAGACCTATAAGACATATATATATATGTGCAGTCCCAAAGGGTATGGTTTTGCGTAATTACACTCTGAAAACGGGTATAGATTTTGCCTAATTTGGTCTGGAATCGGGTATGGTTTTCTAAGAAACTACGGGAGTGTATAAACGTATTCGTTGTTTCAATTCCAAATGAATCAGAAAGAAAAAATCGCATCTGGCGATTATTGACGGGAGCAAACGAGTGTCGTGGAATTTGAAGAAGTTCTCGGAGCGTCATATCTAAAGCAATAAAAGAAAAATTACCTGCTTAGTAGAGTTGAAAATTTTTGAATACTGTACAGGAAGGTCTATCTTCTTTAGTTTCCACAAGAGGGCCCTCCTACACAATTGAAAACCTGCAAGAAGACCCGTCACTGAAGCCAGGTTAACCCTTTAACCTCGAAGAATGATCAGCACCAAATTTGTCCTTGTAATATGAATGCTATATAAAAAACAGGTAGGTGACAGGAATCAAGGTTATGATCGCGCAAGATATAAAATCAATCTTAATTGTTCTTCAATAATTTTTCAATCGAGAGAACATGTTAATAGACACTTACTGTTATGGTGCTGTTGATGCTGATGATAATGATGATGATGATGATAATGATGGTGATGATGATGATGATGATGATGATGATGGTAAAATAATAATTATTTTTACAACTGCAGTAATAATATTTTTAACAAAAATGAGAGGTTAAACGTTTGTGGCGCTGCCAAAGCGCCTGCAGTGAAACTTCAATTTATTGACTCACTTACATTGAATAATGTAATTTGTAATATGCGATTACCTTTGAGGCGTCTCATGATTTCGTTGTATTCCCAACGTGTTGGATCCTCATAAGAAACACATATTCTCCTACCATCTATAATTTGGGGTATTTGAATATCTGGTAGATCGTGGGTGTTTATGAAATCGCGAGGTCGATACCATCTTGTTCCAGTCATTACGAAGCTTAGATTAGAGAAATGTGCTATCATGTGTTGATGGCTATACTCCTGCCAGTTGGCCCAAATCTTGTCGATGAAGGCATGGTGGAGAAAAAACTCTGGTGCATTGGCTGATGTCATCCGGCACATGTCTCCTCCCACTCTGCAGTGCACGGTGTCATGGAGGTTGACTCGAAGGTTAAGCTCAAACCTGTTGAAGCCGTCGTCCGTAGGCTGAAAGTACTGAGTTATGTAGACGGCTATTATGTCGGGAGGCAATCCTGTGTTGAAAAAATAAATAATGAGGACAATGTTAGTGAAAAGAACCAAAAAAATACGAGAAGCAGATCAATAATACAGCTAGACAGGTGGATATTCACGTTGTCACAATCGATGAAAATTGAAAAAAATCTGATTGAAGGACAATGGAAAATGTGTTTATAAACATCCGAAGGCCAGACGCATTTCATGTAGAGAGCAAAGTAAACACCGTAGAAATGGTGCTGACACCCTGCCAGCAAACTCTCCTTTTCTCGTCTTGATCGAGGAAGAAAAAAAGAGACTCTGCCTGTATCTGGTCAAGCCTTTGAGATCACCACAGCTCGAGTTTCTAGACTAGGCAACCTTTTTTCTCTCGCCAAACTGGTTTTTCGAGTGCGAGCATCCTTTTATTGATAAACCAATGGTAAGAACTGAGCCCGCCGTAGCTAGCGCACGGTCATTAGGTCTGGATTCGAAACTATATTCTGGCAACATGCTGGGCATGCTCAAAAAGGATCTCACTCGATTCATGAGTCTTTCTTGAGTGCGCCAAATTCGAGCAAGGGAAAGGAAGGATCTGTTGGCAGGATTTGGAGCTGGAGATGAAAAGAAAAAAAAAAGAAGGATTGAAAATGTAGGTATAAGCTGTTTCTCACCGCTAAATCTTCTCCTAAGGCATCGTCCATTTGTTTTACGCCAAACGTTCCTAGAAAATGGTCCATCGGTGACGCAGCCACCACTTCTTCCATCACTGCCGTTGCCTCCAAGACCAGATGGGCCTGGGTACCAGATTCTGTCACTGGTGTTATTCCAGGGTGACATGGAAAACAGACTCCAGTCCCAGTAGGCAAGAGTGACTCGACAATCTACTTGACGCAACAAGTTTTCGTACCGAAGAAGGTACCTGTTGTGATAGGAAAGTAGAGAAATAAACCAGATAGAGAAAAAACAAGTTCCAGTGTTCGCTGAACTTTTGTGATCGTTCTTGGTCATATATGCAACAAATACTCAGTCTGTCTCAGTCTGTCTCAGTCTGCCCCTTTCTGGTAATAGCCGGTTTTTTTTTGTACTGATATGGCGACAAAATTTGTTTTATGCTCGCCATGTTTGCATTTCATATATATTAGGTTGTGTTCACACTTCACCGGATTGTTTTTCGACTCGAAAAGCCCTATTAGCTATAGTACTGCCATGAACACCTATCTGATATGTGACTCTTCACTTTATAGCCAGATCGGCGAGGGCGCGACACATTCATGCTCCGTTACAGAAATCACCGTTCCTGCGTGTGCAGAAGTCCTAGCAGGTATGCATGGTATTCGTCCCGGTGCAAACGCTTAGTGAGAACATAGCCATAGACTGATTAAAGCCGGGAAAATGAAAATATGTTGATTTTAAGATATGGCTTCAGGCCCGTACGTCTTGAAACACAAGCGAGCTCCTGAGATCAACCAAGGAATAATGGAAGATTCTCTTAAATGATAGATCACAAGCATGAGAAGTTGGTAATCATCATATAATCAAGGTCAGATTATTTTCTATGACTTTTTTCCCTCTAAATGTTAGCTTCGATTGCTCAGGACGAACAAGTGAGCACTTGACTTCTCCCTCAAGACTTTCTTTTCCCCCAGTGGTGTAAAAGCAAACTTTTTTTTGCACACGGTGGCAGGTTGTGCTGACTTGAAACATTTCAGAAAAAAAACGACTGTTAATCCTGCCGCCTGTAGACAGTATTGACACTCGACGGAATGGCAACCGTATTTGGAATATACAGGTTAATGATAAAAAAATAAATGTTAAGGGAAAAGTTGCATTGTGAGTCAATTACCATCGATGCCATGGTAGAAATTGGTCTTTCTGATGAATTCCTGTACTGAAAAGCCTTTGATGCATATTTATTATACGACGATACTCCTGGCGATACGCACTTTCCGTTGAGACCCGTCGTACGGTTTCCACATAACGTGTTCGTTCAGCCTCTGTCATAGATGTGAAGTGTTTCCGTACTCTGCAGCAGTTTTGGATTCTCCCATTGATACAGTAGCAGACTTCCAAGCATGAATTTAACACTTGCCTTCCTTCGTTGGTGCATCTCTGAGCAGAGCTCCGAGAAAGGATGTGAACTAGAAAATGATTTGAACGCAACTAGTTTAACTTAATACGCGAAATTAAAGTTATAATAACAATGATAACGGCAATCATAATTGCAATAATCCATAGCCATAGTAAACACTGTTAGTAATGAGCACAATCACGACACGATCACGATCCTGATGGCGATCACAACCACAATCACAATCGCAATTCAGATCATAATCACGGTCACGTTCACGAACAAAATCATAATCCTAATCCTAATCGTGATCTTAATCTTATTCATAATCATAATCATAATCATAATCATAATCATAATCATAATCATAATCATAATCTTACATAATCATAATTGATCATAATAATCATATCAACCAAGGCGTTTAAAGATATCTTACCCTAACACGTTCCGCATCTCTCCTTATTGTTGGAATTAGCTGGATTGTCTTAAGCATTAGCGTACCGTCTGGTTCAACCCCTGCCCCTCTTCCCCGGATTCAGTGACTTTACCACCAAACAAGCTCCTCCAAAGAGAACAAGCAGTTATTTTTTTTTTGTACTCTAGGCAACAAATTCCGCGGCTCTCCTTAGATCTAAATTGATGATTTTCAGAACCAAACGTTAATATTAAGTCATATCTGTGTTGCATAGTTGAACCATTTGAATTTTAGTTATTGTTGTAGCATAGCTAAGTTTCTTCTTCTTTTTTTTACTTTTTTAAATAAACATATTTTGGACCCTGGATTTAGAAATCTTCTTAGTCGAAAGCACTAAGTAAATCTTACCTGAAATGTAGACGAATATAATTAGTTTAACCTCCATATGAAGTGAGAGCACTGAACACCATTCGACGTTTGGCAATTGTAATTTTGCGGAGAAGAAACGAAAATATAGTGATGATGGACCCTCAGTACCAATTTAGAAATATGGAAATTTTGGTAGACAATTATAACAAAACTGTGTTGGTAACTGAAGAGCGTATAGCATGTGTCAAACAGGTCACCGCTCTAGGGGGCTATTCGGAGGAAACGCAAACGGAATTGAGGCTTTTTCCATTGTAATATGCTTCGACCTTTAACCATAGTTGTGTTGGACAGTCACCAGGAGATAAACAAGAATATTAGTCAGGAATATAATTTCCTTACACTTCAATTTGTTGTTAAACTTCGAACACAAGGATAAAAGCTTTAATCGATGACAAAGCAACCTTCGTTGACACAAGTAAGACGCCCATCTTTGAGTGGGAAGTCACAATTCTTTTAATTATCCATCTTTGAGTGGACAAAGTAGTGCTTGTGTCAATGATATTTCGAATGTTGCAACAGTCACCAGGAGATAAACAAGAATATTATTCAGAAATATAATTTCTTTACACTTCAATTTGTCGTTAAGCTTCGAACACAAGGATATATGTAACAGCTTTATTCGATGACAAATCAACCTTCATTGACTCAAGTAAGACGCCCATCTTTGAGTGGGGGAGTGTCTTTCCTTTTGTTCGGGGGAGGATACCGTCTGATCGTTTATGCGCCGACACGAAAACCATACTGGATAGGGCCTCTGTTTACACAACAATAACTGTAATTTTGGCGCGAATTCTGTAATGGAGCCACAAAGCTGCGGATCTTTCTAGTGAAGAGTCACATATCGGAAGGGTGTTCATACTTTACCCGGTAGCTTTTCGTGTGGGCACGAAAAGCTATCCAGTATAATGTGAGAACATAGCCTTAATCTTTGGTCATAAAATAGCTTGGGTTAGAGTTCGTCTGCGGCGGAGTAGGATAGAAAATTTGGACATCACTGCCCAAGAATGCAAAAGTTCCACTCCCAGTCACAAGCGTCGCTCAAAAACGCCTTTGCGTTGGAGCTGCCTATTGTCATGTCGGTAAAACCGCCAATTTCGTCATAAGCTCGAATGAGCAAAACTTGTGACTGGCTCTCTCCGGGAACCCAAGGAGAGCTTGCTGGCAGGCTATTCTCTCATTGTTTAAGCGGCCATCAAGCGCTCGATACACTTAGTTTGGCTTTTCAAGAATACGATCATGATGGAAAATACAGTGCGAGATAGAAAGTGACTACCGATTGTGAACCAGTAATTCGCTCAGTGGTGCTCCCATCGGGTGCTTGTTTCAAAACAAAGTGATGTTTCTACCAAAGATTTTTAATTTTTGACGAACCGCTATTAAGCGGCCACTTGCCGGTACCCCAAGAGTGGCCGCTTAATGGGGTTCAACTGTAGTTGTTTGTCAGCTCTTAAAGTTATTATATTTGTTAACCATCCTATCTTTTATTTGTTTGCTCTTATAAAAAAGCATCGCATTTGCATGATTATTCAGTCTCTTCCTTTTCATCAAGTTTACAATTTCAAATATTATAAATTTCTCAACTCAATGTAAGACTAACGAGGAATCATGGCTTTCGTTCACCACAGTGAGAGAAAGGTGGACAAATTTATTTGCTTTTCCTTCAACGAAGTAATAGAGAAAATCCACGGAGATCTCAACTCCTTGAAATCACTTTTACCTTTCTCTAACCTCGGTTACTTCCATGAGTGAATAGAGCTGGTTTAGAATCACGTTTACGACAACAGTCAAGTGGCACACGTGACCAAGTTTTCGTCGTTTGCTATTCATTCAGGTTCGTCTATCAGATTTTTTTAGAAGTTTTATCTGCTCATAGTTTCTGAATTGGAGAATTTTTTAACATGCAATTCACGCTTGCCATTTGTCGTAAACCTGATTTGAAATTTAGCTGATATCGAGACGAATATTTTGTGAATTTGGTGGGATTTGTGGCGACATAGCGGTGCATGTGGCAGTATTGTAAAGGCTACATAACAGGTCCCAGCATTTATCACGATATCACAAGCAGGTTATAATACCACCGGTTAAACAAGGAGGATTTGGTGCTAAACAAGGTGAAATTCAGCCGATCCCCGCTTTGAATGTTACTTCACTGAAGTAACCCCCCCCCAATAACATTTGATGACTTTCGCGATCCCCCCCATGCCTTCACTTTCCAAGCAAATTTGAATGGTCTCCCCTTTGAATCCTTCCAAAGTTTTCAGTGATCACCCCCTTTGGGTCCTCAGTAACGACTGATCCCCCCTTTTGTTTTCCAAAAAATCAAGTGATCCTCCCCCCCAAAAAAAATACCCTCCCCCCCCACTCCCAGGCGATAAATAATGACCGGTCCCTTCGAAGTGTTTTTCTTTGATCTCAGACAACCTAATCCGGTGATCTAAGCGATCCTTAAGATTATCTGGAAGCCATAGCTACGCTCCCTCACTTTTTTGCAAGCTATATATTACCCTTGTTCAAGGCCGGGGGCTTCAACTACCTGATTATAATTTTCGAATAAAATTGACTGATAGACTTAACAATCACTTTGTCTTCCCACGAAATTATTGTGCCGTGCTAAAATGGTCCAGGCATCTCATGCTAACAAAAAGGATCCACGGATTGAAAGTGAAGTTTAGAAATTGTATTTTGAACGATAATTGTAGCAGTCAAATTTAATTATGACCGCTAACTTAAGATGGTTTCCTAAATTTCGACGATTTCCAGCTGTACTTTGCATCCAATTGAAAGTTCAACGCTTATTTTGATGCGTGTTAACGCCTGCCAACCTGAAAAACTGAATAAATTCGAATTCGGAAGGATGCAGACAAGGAACGTGGAACGGAAACCTGGAAAATGGTAACGGATCTGACGCAACGAGGAACGGGGAACGTAACTAACACGAGGAACGAGAAGCTGACAAAAAATGGACACAAAACAGAGAAGGGATAATCATGAAGGCACTGAGAGGGTAAGTGTTTAAGTTAAGTTTTGTTCCCCTTTTCCCCCGCTCGTTTCCCGTTCCCCATTTCCGATTCTCTATTTTACACTTTACAAAGCCGGGAAAAACCTCCTCTAGTGTAAATCTGGTGTACGTTTTTCGGTGAAAATTTTCGAAAATAAGCTCCTTCATTTTCAAGATGACTGGTCTAAACCGGTAAGTTCTGATTTCTGGCTATAAAGCGCCCTAAGAAACAGAACATTTCCGTTTAACTTCAGGAATGCTACTGTGCTCCGATAGATGATAATGTGACGCGTCCAATCAAAATAAACTGAGCGCGCAGAGACAGCCCTTTTTTATCTGGTTAGATTTGTATATACTCAATGTTAACACAAGGCTTCACTTGTGCGGATAGCATTGCGAATTTCTAAATATGTCTTTGTACGAAGCCGTGGGGGTGTGAGTTTGCGCGTACATGTGACGGTTGATAAATACTGATCTTCGCTACTACTACGTTTGAAAAAGTTCCTGCTTTTTAATGAACAAGGAATGTCTTTAGATTTGTGCTGTTTTGCTCTATGCTCAGCAAGACTGACGATTGACTTCGGTAATCGAACGAGGCATGCACGACCGAGCACATTAACTGCGTGGGGTACATAAATTATTATTTGTAACCCTCAGGCTTAATTCATATAACTAGTATACCTTAGTAATGGAACGCTTACTTTTCTGTTTCGATTAAAAATATTCATTTGGCTATAAAAAGGGGAAAGAAATTCCAAAGCGACACGGGAAGGTTCAAGAAATTGTTTTAAATCGTCATAACTGTGACACTTGTCAGGGAAGTTAATTACACTTCAAGCCGCCATTGCAGTCTTCCAAAGCTGCATCCACAGGGAAGATTATTGTCCAACTGATATGGGTTTATATAATTAGCACGTCTAAATAACGTCTGATTCAATTGATTTTGAAAACCCTCTACATCTGAACGTCTTCTTTCTTCTGGTTATGGCTGTTCAAAGACAGTGATGGGATTTTAGAGTGTTTCCGATCTTTTAATTTTGACCGTAGTATGACTGATATAAATCAAATGTGGTTATTACAATCGACCGGGTTACAAATCATCCAATTAAACAGTGGCCTCTAGCAAGAAAATAAATGTATGGATAAATAGCTAAACATTGAAAAAAAGAAAGAAAGAAAGAAAGAAAGAAAGAAATACAACTTCAAATACACAACACAAGACAAAACATGAACACCCAAGATTTACAATGAACCAATTGGGCATTCCATCGAGACTGCATTGTAGCTTATTTATGATACAATGAGACATGAGTCAATTAACAAATTAATCGAAATATTTAATATATTTTTGTGAATAAATTTCCCAACCAAATTTGTTCGACTTTCCATACGTTTTCGTTTTCCAAGTTTACTTCGATTTAACTGGTCTTTGATGCTATACGAAATTCGTATTTTTTTCGGTCGTACATCTATGTCTGTCTCGAAATTTCTCTGCAATATTTTTTACGCAAGAGTTATCAAGCAATTCATTGTCTCTACAATAATGATTAATAACTTTACATACAAGAAACAACAAAGTACTAATAGAGTAAATGCCATCTACGGAATAAACACAGGGAGCGCTTTCCTGTCTGTGGTCCGTTCGTCGAAATGACGTTTATAAAGCCTGCATCCTGCATTTTTGGAAGGTCGCAGTTTGCCTGGATCACTGGTGCTTTTCTACTATTTCTGATTGCAGATAGGTGGATAACTTTCGCTTATACTCAAGGTAACTAAAGGTGGACAGTTAATTTAACTTATGCTAGGATCAGAATTCCAAGGGAAAGTGTTGACATCCAGAAACACTTGCTGCAGTATTTTAGATCGCCTTTATTATGATTGAAGTTTTAAATGATTAGTTTCTATGGCGGCTAACACTCAAAGCTGACTGACTTTACTGCTAAACAGCGCTGGCAATTAAAGCGGAACGAACCGAAAGTATCGGCTTGAATTAAACTAGGATGCCTTTTCAACAGCTACAGAATAACGTATAAAAACATAATACGGTATCGCCTGTCTTGTCATTGAATAGTAACTCTATTGAACTGTCATAATAAAATGTATTGAACTTTCATATATTAACATTCCAACAATTATAACGAATATGTCAGCTAAATTTACCTTTGTTCTGTTTTACATGTCTACGTCGTACTTCTTTGAATTATAAACAATCACGAGACGAAACCAAGGGAAAAATACCTTTTTTTTCTTTTTAAAGTCTTGACTAATATTTGCTGGGGAAATTTCATTTTTGCATCACCAATGTAACATTAACTTTGTGAATGGCCATCATACTCACCAAGCGAATTGAAACAGCTCAGTTTTTGGTTTTCACGGAAAGACTGGCTCTCGCAAAAATATTCAAAGAATTAAATGCCTGACTTTTTAGTTATCAATTGGACTTCAAGGAAAAACTCTGAAATCGAAAGCGATTGCGAAGATGTAGGCTTCATTTAGTTATTGACGCCATGGCCAGTAGAATGGGAGGCTCTCCAAGTCAGTAGAGATCTTTTACGCACCGTTGTAGAAACTAGTTAAGAAATTTAGGCCGATAAAGAAATCGTGAGAAATTTGACCACGATAAAGAAAACTGCAGATATAGGCAGTGATCAGAGTGATCATTTACGATTAGCACGGTTATCTTAATAGAAACGCACATTAAGGTCTGACACTTGAATTCGTAGATAGAATCAATATTCTAGATGAAGTCTGTGAGGGCGTTTAGATAAATACTTCCTTGAAAAAGTATGTTTATAGCGAGGTTCAAGGTTGAGTGAATCCAATCAAATACAGATGACGTACTTTGTCGCAGAGTTCTTGAAAAATTTAGAATAATGATAGTAAGTAAAGCTTGATGCATACAATAATGGTTCTAACGACATAATATCAAATGATGGTATGATCTTGTCGTGCCTTGATAATTGCTATATTAGCAGCCCGCTGAAACGGATGCCGACATGTTAATCGAGTCGAAATCGAGCCCCATTTAACATATTTGATCAGTTTGGTCACTTTATTGGACAGCTGTTGAATGGTGTTTTTAATCAGGTTTAACTGATTCAGTCCAGCACCACACCAAAAAAGAAATATTTGCCACTCTAACTATTAAATCTGACAAGCCAGTGACATTAAAAAAAAAGAGAGAGATTGATTAAAAATGCATTTCCAAATTCCATAAATATGTATGATCTCTACCTTTCCGTTATTTCATTTCGTTCTTTGATTATTAATAAGTTGTAATAATCTAGATAACGAAACTATAATTGTACAAACAACTGTATTACTTAAAGAATATTTCCCTTCCTTCACCTCCAAAGACTGCCATTCCGAAATAGCAGCGATACATGCCTTCTTGTCAATTATATATCATTTCCTTAAAAATAATAATAATGATGATGATGATGATGATGATGATAACGATAGTAATGATGATAGACTGGACTAGGGTAGACTAGACTGGTTAAGAAACTACCTATTAGGAGGAAAACAAATTGTTAAATTCAAATTAACCAGCTCAGATTACTTAACAATTACGTGTGGTGTGCCACAAGGATGGGTTCTTGGACCAGTCTTGTTTAAATATATGTCATTGATATATGTAAAAATTCTGAGATATTATTATGTACGATGTATGAAGGTTGGCAAAAAAACCTATATGTAATGAAAAAAATTATGATGATAATGATGATGATGAGTAGGATAATTATAATAATATGATAATGATGATGATAATATTAATTATAATTATAATTATAATTATAATTATAGTGATAGTGATAATGATAGTGATAGTGATAGTGATGATGATGATGAGGAGGATAAGATCAACTTTTATCCAGGGATGTTAGTTGACAAAACCTTAATTGTTTGTTATAGCTTCATGCCCAGATGGCTGGATTGAAGGTGTTCATGGATACTGCTACAACTTTTCTTCTGACAACTTAACCTGGCCCCATGCAAAATCCGCTTGCGAAGCTGTGGGATCTAGACTTGCGGTTATAAACTCAGAGGCCAAGCAACTGGCTCTTGCGCCCAATATATTGCATCGTGCATGGATTGGCCTATCCTTGCTCCGAGTCGGAACGACAGAATTTTTGTGGGTTGATGGGTCCCGCGTTAGTTACTCGAATTGGAATTGTGGTGAACCTAATGTTGGTGGTGAGGTGTGTGTTGAAATATATCCATTTCATTACGAAAGTCAAGAGAGAGGAAAATGGAACGACGATACATGTTCCAATCATCGTCGTTACATCTGTGAAATGAACGGTAAGTTAGTTTAGCTTCAGGTTTAGCTTCACCGCGGCAGGATTGGCTCAGTCAGTAGAGCTCTTGACTGCAGAACGGGAAGTCGCGGGTGCGAATCTGGGGACGGGACAGACACCCAGTGTCTTAAAATAAGTGATAAATGAAGGTACTGCCTTTTCCCTACAAACGGGTAGACCTTCACGTGGCTCGGATGACCACGTAAAATGGCAGTCCCGTCTCCAGTAGGAGACGTTAATATAGGGTCCTCAATTAGTACTTTTGTGCTAAATACATTGACACTAAAATAAACTGCTTTTTTAAAAAATGCAATTTGTTACTGTTTTAGGGAGATGTGATCGGTCTTCTGTCCAGAGCGATGAGTTAATAACGTCCTCTGTTTCTAATCGCTAAATATAAGTAAAGATAAAAGTCCCAGATTGATGCAATGATATTTGCTAGAATTATTGGTCGGTTTTATTTAAGTACGCACATGAAAATCAGTTACAGTAGCATCAAGAAGTGAAACCCAGTGAAACCCAGAAACCCTAGAGCACCAGAAATATTTCTGGAATATTTTTGTGCTGCGAGGAAAAAATTAATCAAATTTGAATAAACTCAACTGTAAGCATTTGACAACAGTAATGAGGCAGTAATCAGTTTGTGGTCGTGCAGCTTATGCTCGCGAGTCCTGAACTTTGGCATGTTGTGATTGCATGGTTACAACATTCATAGTTTGTCAACGATAAATCTAAATCTTTAAAAGTGTGTTGTGTGACGTAATCGCGTATAAGTTCCAATTAGTCTTAGCCGGCGGGATAGATTTCCCACGTGCTCGGTGTAATATATTCTCGCTTGTTTCGTCTCTCAATAACGTAACATGCTGAACAGGTAAAAGGCTAGAAACCCTGTGCTGGGCATGTACACACGCGTCACCTTTCACAAGCGACAGGCCACAGAGATACCAATATTTTTCTTTACAACAATGCAAATGCAAGTGCACTCGCAATTCAGGTTGAAGTGGTTTGAATCATCTTTATTATCGTGTGAACGGGTGAGGGTTATTGTGTGAAGCTTTAATTAACTGTGACTAAATATTTCATATTTGTAGCTATTTGTGCTTCTGCAAGCCTGAACCTTGCATTTGTGGTGGATGGTTCGACTAACATGGGACAAGCCAACTTCTCCTCCGCAATGAAGTTCGCAATTCGTGTCTCTCATCGCCTTGGCCTATACGCAAATACGACCTGCATCTATTTTGTTTTTGGCGAGGTAAATGCGTTTTACAGCATAAGTGAGTTAATGAGCCTAGAGGCAGACTTAAGTGCCAATTTTCCGAACGAAAATCAGATAACGTTGGGTGCAATATTAGATCGTGCAAGAGAGACATTGCTCAGTGCAGGTTCGTCTCGTGTCAATGCTTCAAACATTGTCGTCGCTATTACAAGTGGAAAGTCAACAGATGATATCGAAGTGCCAACAATTACCTTGAAGGCATCGAACGTGACAGTTTTTGCCATGGGTGTGGGTGAAAAGTATTCTTTGGGGCAGTTGAATGAGATGGCAAGTGAATTGGATGAAGATCACGTCTTCACAGCAGAGTCTTGGGAAGACGTTAATGCTGATTTTGTATCTGAAGTGGCGAAGAAAATATATCAAGGTGGGCTGAGTATCTAGTTTACTTTTATATCGTGAAAAAAACAAAAAAACAAAAACAGTGGCAGATGCACGAAAGCGTTTCAGAACATTTAAGAAATAGAGGTCATGCGTGGATCTAGGGAAAATATTGACCGCGATTCCCTAAACTAACGCCGAAGGCGCACGTTTCTAGGGGGAGTTCGGGGGCATGCTTTCCCAGGAAATTTTATTACATTTAATTCTCTAAAGTCCCCTTACCTGGGTGGTTTCTGAGTCATTCGTCGGACAGGATATTGGCCAGTTCCATTGTCCTCTGATGAAGCCTTACAAATCGGTGGAATATTATTATTATTTCTCATGCCCGGAAATTGGAAAAAAAATTATTCAAACCATTTTCCAGAAAAAAAAATTCTGTTTATGAAAAATCTGACCGATTAATTTCCGTAAAATGGTGGAAACCGATGAGGATCTGCGCATGGAAGTAGTGTATTCTCTTCGAACCCATCGTTAAATACAGCAACTGATCAAACCACTAACTATGTTATCCTTGTTTCTCATAAGTTGTCGACAGTTGTGTGAGCTCTCCATGTTATAACAACGGCTCTTGTACAAATTTGGACGGTGGCTACAACTGCACGTGCTCTGTGGAATATTCTGGAGAACGCTGCGAGAAAAGTGAGAAGTCTACAAGTTACTTTTTTATGCGTGAAAAACAATGATAAAACACCTGCAGGGGCTGTGTCATTGTAGTCCAGCTTTTATGCTTTTGTAGACCAGTCCATTTACTCCAATTAATGTTTCCCTAACTCTCTTAGGAGCATACCATTAGTGCGGAGAAATTATGGCATAGAATTAGTGATTTCTCGAAACCTCAGTTCCGGAAACTCTTCATAATTCGAATTACCAGACTGATATTTCCCATTCCAGGTCAAAATCATGCAGTTCCTCCCATCCCCTCCCCTGTATTTTTCGAACCTCTAGATGCTTCACACTCGTTTCCTTTTCCCCACGCAGGCTATCCCCTAAGAACGTCTGCTTGTGAGGCTATTCCCCACGAGGTCTGGCTAAAATAAAAACTGGGATGTCTTTGTTCACTGACTTAACAAACTCACAGTTTAGTGACAAACAAAAATGTATCCGGGGCGTTTCATGATTTAGGAAGATAAACGTCGACAAACTGGCTGAAGAGTTTGCAAAAATACCTAGAAATGCATTATTCTTTCATACATACTGCAATAACCCAAGTTTGCTCCCCTGGGCAATTAGCCAGGGCTCAGTTGTTCAAAAGGTAAATGACTCTATCAACTGGATAAATTTCTATCAAGAGGACAATGCAATTGGTTTCGCTAATGCTTATCCGCTGGATAGTGATTTAACCAGTGGATAGCGCAATCTAACGTTTGAACAACTGGAGAGCGGCAGAATAATCGAGCCTAGGATAGGTCATGATCAGCTATTTGGAACCAATAGTGGTGGGGCGTGAGTTAACGTATATCATCATATTCCACCTGGTAATTGGTTGGTGGCACTCCCGCATCTTCACGCAATACTGATACCGGCACTATAAACGTGCCCAGGTGTTTATTAGAGAAAGTGAAGTTAGACAACAACATCCACAAAAAACAAGGAAATGTCTGTTTTTAAATAGGCAGATCAGTTGAATATCTTTCGCTGGGTTGTTTCCATGACCGAAATAACACGCCTGTCATTCCCTCCCTGGAGTCAGTAAGTGCAACCTACCTCAACGGACCTCATCAGACAAGAGAAAATGCAGTTAAGAAATGTGCTTTAGAAACAGCAAAGGTTGGCTTCAAAGCGTTTGCCCTGCAAGATGGGGGAGCTTGCCTTTCTGGGCCTTTTGCTCATATAAACTACAGCATTTATGGTGAAACAGAGTGTCCACCTGGTGGAAAAGGGGGGCCAAATGTGAGCGAAGTTTATTTACTTGGAGGTAAGTTTGTCTTTTGCATTTTCACTATGTTTAGTTACAGTAAAAAGTGTCCATACCACTTTTTTTTAGGAAAAGGGGTGTCTGTATCCGGGCTACAAGCATTTAGGTGCCCTCTAGACAGAGGCAGATCCAGGGGAGGGGCCCGGGAGGCCCGCCCCCCTTATTTTTAGATCAAACGGAGGCCCTAAGGGCCAAAAAAACTTATTTTGGAGACCGCCCCCCTGCTTATCTATCTGGATGACTGCCTCCCCCTTATCTCAAGGTCTGGATCACTGCTAGATATAGATCGCTTATGGAAAATTGAGTTGTTGCAAAGCAAGGACGGGACATTCGTCCTTCGTTTTCATTCAAAATTCTACCACCTAAATAAGTTTAGTCGCACACAAGTACAACAACGTAATTAATGAACGTAATTAATGGATCATCCGTCTATACTTTTGGTTATGGTATGAATAGATATCTTGTGGTTCATTTTTGTATTCTTGGATTATATTTTATTTCAAACTTATTATCATACCACCATATCCAGAAAAAAAGGAAAATATTTAAACCAAAACTTAAAGAGAACTCCAACATGTCTATATTATGACTGTGATAAACATCTAGTATTAAACAACGCGATTATATTTGTTCTTTCATTGCGTCTATATTATAGTTGTTGTTATCATCATTGTTTATTTATTTACATGTATTTTCTCCTTTGTGAAAGCGAAATGTGGAGAGCTGCTGCAGGAGAGACTCGTACATCTATCGGACAGGACTATAAAAGGCTCGTCGTACAGAGATCCCTGGGGAGTTCCATACTTAGACGGGGATTATTCCTGGTGTCCAAAGGGCGTGGACATAAATCGTGAAATTGAACTTGAACTGAGTAAGAGAAGAGTATTATTAAATCTTGGTCATTTGGTAAAGGGCTTAGCTAAAAGCAAAGTTTCTCTGACATCACTTATATGTATTGTTTTATTTCCAAAATCTTTAGGAATAAATTTACTCGATTCTCGTGGTGNGTGTCTGTATCCGGGCTACAAGCATTTAGGTGCCCTCTAGACAGAGGCAGATCCAGGGGAGGGGCCCGGGAGGCCCGCCCCCCTTATTTTTAGATCAAACGGAGGCCCTAAGGGCCAAAAAAACTTATTTTGGAGACCGCCCCCCTGCTTATCTATCTGGATGACTGCCTCCCCCTTATCTCAAGGTCTGGATCACTGCTAGATATAGATCGCTTATGGAAAATTGAGTTGTTGCAAAGCAAGGACGGGACATTCGTCCTTCGTTTTCATTCAAAATTCTACCACCTAAATAAGTTTAGTCGCACACAAGTACAACAACGTAATTAATGAACGTAATTAATGGATCATCCGTCTATACTTTTGGTTATGGTATGAATAGATATCTTGTGGTTCATTTTTGTATTCTTGGATTATATTTTATTTCAAACTTATTATCATACCACCATATCCAGAAAAAAAGGAAAATATTTAAACCAAAACTTAAAGAGAACTCCAACATGTCTATATTATGACTGTGATAAACATCTAGTATTAAACAACGCGATTATATTTGTTCTTTCATTGCGTCTATATTATAGTTGTTGTTATCATCATTGTTTATTTATTTACATGTATTTTCTCCTTTGTGAAAGCGAAATGTGGAGAGCTGCTGCAGGAGAGACTCGTACATCTATCGGACAGGACTATAAAAGGCTCGTCGTACAGAGATCCCTGGGGAGTTCCATACTTAGACGGGGATTATTCCTGGTGTCCAAAGGGCGTGGACATAAATCGTGAAATTGAACTTGAACTGAGTAAGAGAAGAGTATTATTAAATCTTGGTCATTTGGTAAAGGGCTTAGCTAAAAGCAAAGTTTCTCTGACATCACTTATATGTATTGTTTTATTTCCAAAATCTTTAGGAATAAATTTACTCGATTCTCGTGGTGAAGTTATCAGAGTCTCGTCATTCAACGGTACCTGGATTCTACCACTTGCGGATCGCAACTACAATTGGTTGCCTATAGACGGTGGATCATATAGAGAACTGAGTAAGATGATACAACAAAGGGATATATACATTGCCGTTTTTTCGCAAATAGCACTTGATCGTAATGCACTTTGTCTCTGATTGTTTCTTTAGTAAGACATAAGCTGAACATAACATAACAATCACCTTTATTATTTAAAATACAGAGTAGCTGTAAAGGCTAAAATTAATAATAGCAAGAGTAATTCTAAAAAGATTGGAGAGGAAAAGAGGAAAGAGGAAAAACAAAACGACGAGAAAAAGGAATTTTAATACTACTCATTACATGCGACAAGGAGGATGTTATCAACAGCTTCACATCTCAAGGGTCATCGCGGGACGCTCCAAAGCACTGATGGAGCGAGAAATCCGACACGCTACCGAAGACCGGGACTACTAGAGTCATCTGGTTGCCACCTGCTGGGACAATCCGAATTGACCAGCAAACGAGCTTATATACATGTATTATAACTATTTTTGCTGAAACGAAATCTGACGGACTCATTTTGAATTTGAACTCAGGTCCTCTGTTAATCCATTCCGCATAATTGTTGATGCCTATCAAAATTAAGCTTATTTGAGGTAAGCAGCGTGTTAACATCTTTTGTCTTCCTTTTCAGGAATATTAGGTTTGCATAATCAAAATGAAACAGTCGCAAGCTTATCTCCAAACCAGCCATTTAAGATACCTGTGGTAGATCACGACTACGTCTGGCTTTCAAATGACACAAGGCCTCTTCTTCATATAACTCTAAGTAAGGATCTACGATGTATAAATTAGTATATGGGCCTCGAAAGGACGAAATAAAATTACTGAAGGTCTTCTCTGCTCGAGGTGAATTGTAGTATCAAATACCTGCCCATGTACAAAGATTTGAGTATGCGCTGGGATTGGCCTGTTAAAAAAGCCGTTGCCATTTTGCCAATCAGGTTGAAGAGAACTTTGAAACGCTTTTCTNTTTGCTCGAGGTGAATTGTAGTATCAAATACCTGCCCATGTACAAAGATTTGAGTATGCGCTGGGATTGGCCTGTTAAAAAAGCCGTTGCCATTTTGCCAATCAGGTTGAAGAGAACTTTGAAACGCTTTTCTGGTAGTTCGCTGAGTTCCTTGGGTGCCCAGAACAAGGATATCGTCACTGCCGTGGAGAAAATATTAGAACTGGTTTGATTATGTCTTCGACGCAGTCTATAGTAAACTTTAGCAAGCTTAGTATAGATACGTCTAAACAGAAAATGGTAGAACATGTGCATCTGTTTTGACAAACATTTTTTGGGTCCTTCAGTTTTGAACGACTTTCAAGAGGCTACTATAGTTTTGTCCAAAAGTTTTGCCTTAGCGTTGGATATCCAGACCTACAATTCGTCTGCAACCTCCTTCCAGACTAAAATGAAAACGCCGCTTATCATAAGTGTTTACTTCAAGACTCTGAGTAATTTCATCCATTTTTAAATGTATTATTAATTTATTAAAAACCCATTTTCTCTCCCGTTCCTCAATCTTCAGAGATCAAAGGTAGCCTAGTATAAACGTGTATGTTCAGGCGCGAGGTGATATTAACAGTCCAGTATTTCACACAGAACTCAATGTGCTTTGCGTACTTTTAAATATTAGGTCCAGAAGAAAGGGAAACGTTAGTAGCGGTCATCTCTGTTCAAGGCAAAAAGGGGGCAAAAGATTATGCCGACAACTACTGTGTAGAAAAAAATGGACCCCTTGGAATCCAGAATATCACTCAAGATTTCTCTTCTTGTTTGGTAAGAATGTTGAGAATTTTAACATCCAACTAACAGAAAACTAGTCTTGTCTCACGGTATGTGTTCTTTTACAGATAAACCTCCGCACAACGGACACCTTGGGGCAGAAGAAAGTAAACATTGTAGAGAGGTGGCCGTTGTAGAGAGGTTTAAACAAGAGTCAATGTATGGACTGTCCTCCCTAAAAAGTGGCTGTTGTTGAGAGGTGTCCGTTAGTGGAGAGTCGACTGTAATATGTGCAGGCTTTAAGTGTCTTCACTGTACTTTCGATGCAAAAGGTTGCACGTCGGTAAACTTTTGTGTAGAAAACAATGGATCCCTCAAAGTCCAGAATATCACTCAGGATTGCAGATGTTTGGCCAGAATATGAGCACTTTGTAAGATCTAAATAAGAGAAGGCCTCGCTTTTTTTGTCTCTCTGCAGGTCCAGTTGTCATCCCAAAGCTCCAATGACACAACCACCATCCCATTCAGTGATACCATCATGGCTCAATATCTGAAATTTGCACCTTGGAGACCTCTACGAAAGGATGGTCTGTGTTTACGAATCGATATATTCGAGAATGACAATACATGTAAGACTCAGGTTATTTTTCATTTAGATCATTGTCAATCAAGCATCATGTCCCGCTAATTCCAATACCATCCCTCTATGCTATATCAACTTGAGCAGGATTAGCTCAGTCGTTATAGCGCTTGACTGCAGAGTGGGAGGTCGCGGGTTCGATTCCCGAGGACGGACCAATACTCATAGTCTTTACCCTGCAAACGGATAGACCTTCGCGTGGCTCGGATGACCACGTAAAATGGCGGTCTGTTCTCCAGTAGGAGACGTTAATGTAGTGTCCTCAATTAGCACCTTCGTGCTAAATACATTGACACTCAAGTCCTTGAAATTTGTTTGTCTGAAGTTGTGCGAACCATGTAAGAGATCCTTCGTAATATATTTGCTGGTGTAAGCAAGTTACGATTTTGTATATTCACGTTTTTGGCAGTTAAAATGGTAAATAATAGTGCTTTAGAGTGGTTTTCGTTTGAGTGTCGTAAAACCAAAACCAAAGTAATTACTCTGGCCAATCACATAGGACACAGACAATACATTGAACCAATCAAAACTCGAAGTAATTACATGTGGCTGACGCAAAGCGCGGGAAAATGCATGCGAGCGCGTCACAATTGGCTTTGGTTTTACTTCTGATTGGATGAAAAGGTGGCGCGAATCTTTTAAGCCA